AAACTTCGCAAAGTTAGGGTGTTACGGGGTATTTTGGGGTGCTGATCACGAATTTCATGTTAGTTTTGATTACAGACGATTTCTTTATGCATTTAGGCCAGGTCGGGTCATGTCAGGTTAGATCAATTAGTAGGCGTCCTGCCGGCCATCCATAGAAGTGTCGCCTACTACTGATAGCTTCGTAACATGGAACGAAGGCACTAGAACTAGTTTGTAAATATTCAAATGGCTGGTAAAATCGAAATCAGCACCAAAAACTACCCTAGAAACAAGGAAAACTCGAAAAAGTGAACCAAGGTCATCAAAAGGTCAATGACCTTGACTTGACCTTCACGTGACCTTGACACCCACCATTATGCATGGCACCAACATCATTTCACATATTTGAATGTTTAAAACCACAAAAAGACTGGAAACCGCGGATAATGTGAGGTGGCATACGCCGAATCGCGATTCCGGCCAAACATGGTCTCGAGAAATATGCCACAGGTTAAAGGTCAGTTGGGTCAGAGTCATGAAATTTTTATCTATAATAGCTAGCCGAGGTTGTGTCCAAATTTGTTGTTGATTCCATTTGCAATGACGATACAGTTACGTCAGCAGTCAAATTATAGATAGGCGTTTCCTAGAATTTCCTCACGATATATCCAACATATGATATCAATTGATATGTAGAACGACTGATCACTCGTCAGGAACTAGTTGAAAGTGTAAGTACCAAGATGTGTCAGGATGACAGCAGGTGCTGTTTAGTTAATTTACCATGTTGCATTTCACGCTCAGCGACATCAGAAATGCTCCATATAGGAGGGCGACAGCAGTTTACGACGCCAGCACTGAGACATCATCCTGAGTGCTAAAACCACTAAATTATCATCAAATATCTGAATCTGAATAATACCTTAGGTCTATTCAGACGGCAGACCTAGACCTAGGTCTATTCAGACATCTTGAATAAACCTGAATACACCTTAGGTGTTTGTATCGCTCTTCAATGTCTATCAAAAATTATTGCCAAAAAGGTGCTGGAGACCTTTCAGGGCCTGGGATGACCTCGGGGACATAATAAGGGGTGACAGACCTGCAAATTGTCAATTTAGTATATGTCAAGTGTACTTAACTGTATCCCGATGTTTGAGAGTGTCTAGAATGGCGTTCGTCCAAAAGTGACGCCATTGAACTATTAGGTATTTTTCTTCCATTGACTGATAATGGAGAGTTTGTGAAATTGGCCTGACCGTTGATCTTGTATAGATACTACTACTCTTGCAAATAGCTGAGAGTTTCAAAGCGATCGTTCAGTCGATGAAGCCATGACGAGCTCTCTAACTTTGTACGGCTGTAGAAAGCTCCATCACAGCTTTTTTTCTGAGGTGAGGCCACTTAGCGTGGCCTGGTGACCTGGCCTTAGGCGAGTTGGGTCTGGAATTCTCACAACTTGGGCGGAAAAGATGCATGAATTGGTGTAAAAAAAAGCGTTGCTCTGCGCCGTCGTTTTTTATATATCTGCTAAAAATCGCAGGGAGATGGGTTGCCAAAACCCCCGGGACCAGCGCGGCTGAGGATCATTTCTCGATCTCGTCTTCCAATCCGTCACCAGTGTCATCTCGTCTCCCAATCCGTCACCAGTCGTCATCTCGTCTTCCAATCCGTCACCAGTCGTCATCCCGTCTTCCAATCCACTACCAGTGTCACCGCCAACAGCACCGGACGAACGGCAGCCAATGAGAAGAACTGACCGATAGAGAGAGAGAGAGAGAGAGAGAGAGAGAGAGAGAGAGAGAGAGAGAGAGAGAGAGAGAGAGAGAGAGAGAGGGAGATCCTCCTCGAGTCATGACCTGGCTCAGAGGTCAGCGGTATACCGTCGGCCCCGTGACTGCCAGTGCACCGTGCCTGCAGTCCCCTCGGACCCTCCCCCCCTCCCTCCCAGGCGCCAGTCGAGTTCACGCGACATGGGACCGAGTACAACAGACATACCTTGTTCGGATTAGTGAAGACGGGGTGGCCATCACGATGCATTAGCTATATCAGTTCCGGGCCACATATTTCAGTGATAAAATGTCCGTTGGAGAGCTGCTTGCGCCATGCAATGTTTGACCAACGCCGCGTTATCGAGCCCACCTCGTCTGTGCAATAGGCAGTGTCAACAGCAATGAAGAGGTCCCGGCGCGTCGCCACTCTGAAAAGCGGCGGGGAATGCGGCTCCCTGCAATCGGCGGCGCACCTATCGGCTCCGTCGGCTGTCGGCTATCGTCTGAGAGGCCCCTCCGACGGCAGGCACTGGCCGGAAGTGGTGTCTGAGGTCAAACTCGGGTCACCTGTGTGACCTCTGGTGTTCTGGAACAGTCACAATTGTGACCCCGGGCGGTCCACACGGCCTGTGTGAAGGGTGGAACAGTGGAACAGTGACCTGACGTGAATGAACCGCTGTATGACGTCATATCGTACGGTGACGTCATAGCTAGGGATCTGGTCATTCCGGCTACATTCTCTGGGGCATGTCTGTTGGTGTAACGTGTCGACGACTGCTCTCTCTCTCTCTCTCTCTCTCTCTCTCTCTCTCTCTCTCTCTCTCTCTCTCTCTCTCTCTCTCTCTCTCTCTCTCTCTCTCTCTCTCTCTCTCTCTCTTCTCTCTCTCTCTCTCTCTCTCTCTCTCTCTCTCTCTCTCTCTCTCTCTCTCTCTCTCTCTCTCTCTCTCTCTCTCTCTACCAAAATCACACATCCTCTCCAAATGTATTCCCTCCCCGTTCCATCTCGGTAAAACAAACCCCCTAAATCACCACACACAACGTCAGTACACTCCCTGTCTGTAGTTCACAGACAATGGGCGGATATTCAACACTAAAACACGGACACCGCTCAGAGTGGTACCCAGCTATCACGTGACGTCGGTATAACGTTGTCAGAACGTTCAGTATATCGGTACGTTACGGTTCAACGTCGTCAGCACGTTATGACAACGTCACAAACGTTGTGCGGTAGCAGGGCTGCAGGAACGTCCCCGTTATGTTACGTTTTGTTGACGTTATTCCGATACCTGCGTTGTGACGACGTAGTACCTACTGTAACTTCGAAAGATCGGTTACAAGAGTGGTTCCATATGCTTTCTGATATGATCGGTGGATAATGTTGAAACAGCCGGACACGGACAGAGAAGACATATATATGTCTTGTTTTGAAGTAGAGTCTCAAAAATATATAGCGAGCGAACCCACTAACCGGCGCCCTGATGGGGGGCCATTTTGCCCCCCCCCCCATCAGTGACCTCAGTGAGTCAGTGACATCAGTGACCCTAATATAGCGTGACCTCTAGGAATCGCCCGAGGCTACATCTCGGAAGCCGTTGTTCGAGGAAAAAATCCTTGCTACAGCTGGCTTCCCCGCCCATCACAACTTCAAAATTCAACCAATTTTGAGAGAGAAAAAAATGAGGGTGTACGGTTTTGATCGATCTATCGTGGAACGCCCCTACTCATATCACAATGGTATTTTTAGACGTTGCGCCGTGTGGTCACTATTGCGCAAAAGTTGTCTTAGCGTTTCCATTTCTGAAATTGTGTTCGTGTCTCGGGATAAAGCAGTAGGGTCTATTTTAGCGGCAAACGTCAAGGAGAATCGTCTTTATGGAAATTCCGGCCGGCTCTGAGTCATCATCTTTTTGCCACGTATTTTCTACCGTGTCACCGGAACAGCCAATGGATGGTGCCATACACTGACGGATCAGGGGGGGGGGGGGCATTAGCATGGACGTACCCAAGGGGGGGCGGACGGGGCGCCCCCCTTGGGGCATGAGGAGGCCCCCGCATGGACTCAGGCCCCGTGGACCGAGGGTCCCCGTTGGTCAAAATTAGGTACGTCGGAGGGGAACGAAGTTCTGACGGAAAAAAGCCAGTCAGGTCAATCGGGGCTATGTGATCAGGCTCACCGCTAGGGACCGTCCTTATCACTACTCGGGGCTTCCTGTGAATAACCACTAGTGTCTGTGTTTGACCGCTAGTGGCCCTCTGACCCCTCATCATCAGAAGAGAGGAGGCCCTCTGTAGAGAGGAGGCCTCCCGGGATTACTACGGGCCCCTCCATCCACCTTGGCCAAAGTCTATGGTACGTGTCTGGGGCCACTCGGTTGACTCACCCATCACTCGGCTGACTCCGGATGACTCCTCAGGACACATGATGAGTCCGTTGACTCCGGACGACTCCGTATCACCCCGACGACTCTGTTGACTCTCAATGACTCCCCGGGGCATGTTGTCTCGTATTCGTTTGTATTTGTTGTCTCGTCTACACAGCTAACGGTGTCGACATAAATAGCAAACAACATCGGTGCGACAAACAACACAGCCTGGTTTATCGTCAATATATATTGCACCACGGACCACTGTGCACTGTCCATTACTTATCACTGTATCGGCCATCTGACAATGTGTGTAGTAGACACCACCAGAAGAGGGGGACCCACCTGTGAGGTCTGGGTAGAGCAACAGGAGCAGCGGGCAGAGGAGGGGAGCACAGAGCCGCAGACAGAGCACGTCAGCGACACTAGCGCCGCCTACCGGTCTGGTCCGGAACCTGTGGTTGCCGAGTACACCGCATGGAGAGGAGAATAGGACGAGAGGTTAGTGATCTCCTGAATACCACCCCCACTGGCGGATACAGTCGCCACCACGACCAAGATGATGCTGTCGGAGAACCCGTGCGTCCTCTGGACACTGCAGCAGAGCCGACACCTGACCACGTCGTCATTAGAAGCGGAAACAGCGGTACAGGTGACGTCACGTGTCAGGTTCCTGCAACACACTCAAATCTGGTGAATACTACAGTGCAATACTTACGTGTGGCTCTGTGTGGCTATTAGCATGACCCGCAATCCGCCACGTGGAGGCTGCCACATCGGACTGCGTCTCTGTTATCGCCCGAGACCCCTCAGGTAGTGCAGAGCCCACCATGTCCTGAGGGAAGACACGGCAGCCACACGGCCCCGAGTAGCACTCGGTGTGTGCTACTCGCAGCCGATTGGTGGCGGCACAAACGGCCGTTGGGTGAGACAGCTCTCCAAGCACGGCGGAGGCAGGCTTGTATAGCACTCATCTGTCGTGGATGGCCTACACCAGCTGATCGTGATGGCTGAAAATATACCGGTGGGTCAGGGCACTGTCGTACAACGACTGGCGTTTTATCATATATTTTTCCATAACCCGCGCCCTGCTGGGGGGGGTGTTTGAACACCCCCCCTTGTGGTTTTTCGCGAATATCTCAAAAACGGCGGCGCGGAGCGCCGCCGTTTTTGGTACACCTTATCATACATCAATTCTACACATGTTGTGAAAATTTCAGACCAAGGTCATTCAAGGTCAGGTCACCAGGTCACTTGAAGTGACCTCACCTCATAAAAACTTTCAATGTCTGTCATAGCTACACCAAGGGACCGATCGCTTTGAAACTTTCAGCGATTGCTAAGAGCAACAGCATGTACAAAATGTATATCTCAGAATTTTGATATCGATGACCTAAGGTCAGGTCAATTTTGCGACCTCCCCATTATAAGTCAATGGGAGAAAATTGAAATGCGCCTCTTTTGGATGAAAGACATTATAAACACTCCCAAACACCGAATTACAAGTAGTTTAGACACACTGAACATGAAAATGGTGTCCGTGACCCTTGTTTATGCCCTGAGGTCATCTTAGGTCACTAATTGCATCTAACAGTTTTTCGCAAATAACTTTTGATAGAGGCATGCTAGAGCGATGAAAACGCCTTAGATGTGTTCAGCTCGACGATACGGATCGACTGATATGCAATATGACCCTTTCCGGTCAGGTCATGACCTTGACCTGAGGTCAAATTTTCAAGTTGACCTTTCAAGGTCAAGTTATAGTTCATTCGATGCGTCTTGACGAGAGGAACACGATGCCGGTTAAAGTAAGCTCGTACAAGGCTTGGGTCAAAAGTTATTGCAGAAAAACTGTTTTCGAGAAAATCGGCTATTTTTGCAGTTTTTGCCCCCTGTAGGCAAAACCGTTGACGTTAGGTCAAATCTGAGAGAATTACTCAGAAAGGGCGTTAATAGGGCTATCGAATGCGCTTTTCCGCGGCGCTGTAGCTCTATTGGTTCCCGAGTTATGCGTTGGCTTCTCGGAAATTTTCGACATTCGACCTGGAAATCGGCGAAATTTTGCCTTCAATGACCTCTGGTGACCTGACCTTTGACCTGACCAAAAAATTGACCGAAGTGATTTCGTCATTATTTTTGACGCTCTTTCGAACGCCGCCTTCCGCGTATCGCTACGTGGCCCAGGAGCCGAGTTAGAAGGGGGGGTGTTCAAACACCCCCCCCCCCCCCAGCAGGGCGTGGAAATCCAGGACCCCCAGCGGGGCGCGGGTTAATATGTCATTGAATAGATTGGTTTACATTCTGATAAATCATAATGTATGCTCGAGCTGGGAAGGTCACCCAAGCCAGCTCCGATAACATGTGCACATGTCAGTTTTCCATTTGCTGGCCCACGTACATCTGTCTGCTCGTGTCTGAACACTGGCTCCTCCAGAGAGACGGACACCCCCGACCGAGCGTCTGTCCCCGGGCTCTGGTCACCGTCATGGCGACAGCTGGCCGCGCGGGGAACTGGTGACGCCACCAGCTCCCAGCGGAAGGAAACGCGCCATCACGGGACTGGTAATGGAATAATTATGGGTCTGGGGTCATTTGTGAATGCTGCTAACTACAAATCGCCTCGTATCAAGTATATTCAAAAACGTTGGAACATAAGCAGGTATAAATCGCCCACCCAACTAACCTGTCTCGGGAGGCCTCTGATCCTGTGACGGGCGAGTGTGCGGCAGCTGAAATGCCGGACTGCCGGATTGGCTCCGGCGGTCGACGGCTCAGCTGCGCCAGAGCCGCACACCCGCCTCCGTCAACCTGCCGGTGCAGTAAATGGACAGATGGTTACTCCAGCTGATGTATTTACGATATGATCGTCATGTTCCTAGTTGTATTTATTTATTTTTAACATAAGAGGACTAAATAAAAAAGGTACACGGGGACGGGACATGGGGAACGGAACACAGGACATTGACCCCGGGAAACATGTGTATATCATAAGCAGATTCCACTGGTAAACTCACGCCCGCAGGTGGTGGGCTTGGTCCTGAGGCCGGCGGTGCTGGTGGTGGTGCTGCCAAAGCTGGCAGGGGATCTGAAACACAATAGATAAATATTTAGCACTTGCACCATTTGTAGGTATACATCGTAACTCGAAGTTTTTTTTTTTTTTTTTTTTGACGACATGACAACTGGCCCAGGTATATCGCTTGCAAGACTCCTCACAATATTTATGAGATGAAGGTAGAAATAAACTAATACTAAGCATACACAAAGCTGTTTGAGATTACTATCAAATCCTTTATCAATGTATTGATAACACATACACAATTCATGCGTGTCTGTCCACTGTCAGTACAATACTAAAACACTCACGGAGGCTGGTGGTGGTGATTCCGGAGCCGGTGGTGCTGGTGCTGGTGCTGGTGATGGCTGGTGGTGATGGTGGACCTAAAATAAATGGTAATTTTAATCAATACTTGATCATATTTTCATTTCTATTTCCTGAGGTTTTGTAGAAAACTTAACAGTCTGGATATAAATGACCTCAGTTTTGACGTAGCAGCCAAACATTTATGAGGATGTGTTTGTTTCGTCGTAACGAGCCTCAGCCTGCTATAAAAAACAAACACGCAAACAAACAAACAAACAATCAATCAAATAAATAAATAAATAAATAAATAAATAAATAAATAAATAAACAAACAAACACGCCATCGATATTTTAACGTTAGTTGAAACATACAAATTGAAACAAAACAAAGGTCAAAGGTTTGGCAAAAGGGGAGTATTTCTGGCGCCGCACCTACCTGCTGGTGGTGGACTTGGTGCTGAGGCCGGTGGTGCTGGTGGTGGTGCTGCTGGTGGATGGTCTGAAAGGAAAGAAATACAAATTAACCGCAAATAGATGCAACTGTTTAGAAATACAATGGGTTCACCTCTGAACCAGTCTAATGGTCAGAAACAAAATAATGACGTACCTAATCTGTTATCAATATTTGAGTGAGGATAGTACTACAGTTCTTCCATTGCATTGATTGTGAAGAAGAAATTACTGACAAAATATCATGTGCAGCATAGCAAAAAAAAAAAAAAATCAGTTTATCGTTATCAGTTTCAATCAAAGATCAGCCACTCACGGATGCTGGTGGAGGACTTGATCCCGGAGCCGGTGGTGCTGGTGGAGGACTTGATCCCGGAGCCGGTGGTGCTGGTGGCGGTGATGGTGATGGTGGTAGACCTGAAATAATACAAACGTTTCAATTATTAGTTTCTTAGAGACCAATTTGCGCTGTATAAAATACAAATACAATACAGCTGCTAACCACACAGGTGATATCACAGCAATAGTTTTGGCGGTGCATCAATTGTATCAATTGCTCGCTCATTATAATTCGATGAAAACCATACTACAAATAATATAAAAAACGATGACCGTGGTTATTTGACGTGGAACCGCGACCATTCATGACCAAATAAAGAGTCAGCAATCAGAACTGTTCTTATTAAAGCTAACAAAGATCAACTGAATTAAAAAATCCCTATTCATATTTTCTATTAGTATCATCTGCAATTATTACAATTACCAAATATTGTATTTCCTATTGACGAGTACAGCGGGCGACAGTATGGCCGCCGATATCCCATCTGTACTCACGGAGGCTGGTGGCGGGCTTGGTGCTGAGGCCGGTGGTGCTGGTGGTGGTGATGGTAGATGACCTGAAATAGAATCAGCACATGTTGAGTTCAAATTGTTATTCATTGTAAGAAAAATATAGCGTTCACTTTTTTTGCTAACACGTTTTGCGCTCATTAGCATTCTGGAATATTTGTTACAATGGTTGGTCGATATAAATTTAATGATGATTGACAAACTATGAATGTGTCTCAAACTTACGACTTAAATGAAAGATACTTGCTTTTATTATTGTCAACTTGTGATAAGAACTCACGGAGGCTGGTGGCGGGCTTGGTGCTGAGGCCGGTGGTGCTGGTGGTGGTGCTGGTTAATGACCTGAAATGGAGGAAATACAAATTTACCACAAAGCAATAGAACTCCTATCAAGTACAGTGGATTCACCTCTCAACCTGTCCTACGGTCAACAAAATCCTGACGGAATACGTTGTTATTGTCGCATTATGTTATTATTCCTATCGATCTGATTATAAAAAATATGGACCAAAAATCCTATGTAACATTGAGAAAAGAACAAGTTTTACGTTGCAGGATGTATTCAATGATAAGACACTCACGAAGGCTGGTAGAGGACTTGATCCCGGAGCCGGTGGTGCTGGTGGCGGTGCTGGTGATGGTGATGGTGCTGGTGATGGTGGTGATGGCGGACCTGAAATAATATAAACGATTGAATCATTCTATATGACAGACCAAACGATCACCTTATCATACAGACAGAGTGGTAGCAATGTCTACGGCAAAATAAACAAAAAATGTTCGGACAAGTACATTCAATACAAAAAGTATCGATAACATATAACAAGACCGTGAAAGATACAACTGAAAAAAATACGTTCATGGTGTTTTTCATGCCAAGTTAACCCTCGCCCGCACATGCCATTTTCCCATCCTAGAACGCACATGGGGGGGGGGGGTTGCCACCACCCCCCCCCCCGCGCCATTTCGTTCCTGTTGGAGATAGAGCTTAGCGGTAAAGACCAAAAAGATTCTTTGGGAAGAGACGAATCCAATGATACCCAGTTTTACCTTCTCAGGTCAGTCATTGACCTTCCAGGTCAGGTCAAACTAAAAAATGTTGCTGTTTTGGGTCACCGTTGGATATCAAGTGCGCTGCTTATCAAATACCGATGACGATGCTGTTTTCTGGTGCCAAGCCAGCTAGAACCTCTTTGTCACACTACCCGACCAGAATTTTGCTGCTGAGGTCATTTCAGGTCAAGTTAGGTCAAGGTCAATTATATGTGTTTGTATGTCTGTGTGTGTCTGTGTGTATACTGATGTATGCACCGATTGTTTTTGGGTCCATATTACATGAAATCATGATCTGAGAAGCTTTTACCAAAAATGCAGTCAAAAAACTTCACAAAAAAATAAATTCAGCTTGCCTAAAACGCAATTATCTTAGATGACCTAGGTTGACCTTGACCCTGACCTTGACCCCTGTACATCGTCGAACAACATGTTCCATGATAGGTGGGAGGTAAGACTGGCAAAAAAGGCCGAAATCAGGGTGTCAAAAGCTCACAAGGCCCATGGCAGGCGCAAGATGTTGAGAATTGGCCATTTGGGTCATGACATGACCTGAAAAACAAGGTCATATCTCCGAAACCCAAAATCACAGAAACTTGAAATTTTCAGTGGACCTCAAGAAAGGATAGAGGAGCAGCTATACGAAAAATCAGCCTTCTAGCTCTAAAAATGTTGTGTGCAGAGCAGAAAGACTACCTGGGGGGGGGTGGCAACCACCCCCCCCCCCATGTGCGGGCGAGGGTTAAGGACTATTTATTGGTAAGATCAAAGAAGAGTGGGAACTGTCAGTTTCATAGACCGAATAAATATAAATGTACCTAAAGAAGACAATGAAAAAAATCAAATATTTCACTGCTTATATTCTTATTTTCATTTGTAGTTTTTTTATAGTTTCTGCATCATTCAGCAACGCCAAATGTTTTTTTTTCCTAGAGACAAACAACAGAGAACAGTCTGTCCGTACATCCCGTCTGTACTCACGGAGACTGGTGGCGGGCTGGGTCTCGGAGCCGGTGGTGCTGGTGGTGGTGCTGGTTGATGGTGGTGGTGGTGGTGATGGTAGATGATCTGAAAGCAGTCAGTAGGTTTTTAGATCAGCGTGTTAGGCTCAGTAAGAACAAAAAGTAAGACGAACAGGCTGGTGAAAATAACAACGATAGGAATACGTTTTACAAGTTCATGGTCATTTCGACACTTACGGACATGCTGGTGACAGGTTTGGTCCCGGAGCCGGTGGTGCTGGTGATGGTGATGGTGATGTTGATTGTCATGCTGGGGACGGTGGTGATGGCGGATCTGAAATAGAAGCCGCTAGTTTTAATGATTAAAGTTATAATGTCGACATTGATATTTAGATATTACCTATGTAGATACAGCGCTAAAGAAGGGAAATTACAATGACAATTATTTTGAGTTAGGAAGCAAATGGTAAAAACATGAAAATAGCACCATGCATTGTTTATAATAGCTGTATTATAATTTACGGTAACTCTAAGTCAATGGCATTTCACTTGCTAGTGGTTTCGGAAGCCGTGAAGCTGGACTCGACTGCCGTTGGTGTACTCACGCCTGCCGGTGGTGCCGGTGGTGCTGTCACTGCTGGTGATGGTGACGTCTGTGGTGATCTGAAACACCACAGTGTCCAGTTTTAGGTCCCCTGATATTGACAGTCACACCCGCCGTGTCGCTACCGCTATCCCACACCGGGTCTGACAGTGGTGTGACGTCACTCCCACACCCGCCGTGTCGCTACCGCTATCCCACACCGGGTCTGACAGTGGTGTGACGTCACTCCCACACCCGCCGTGTCGCTACCGCTATCCCACACCGGGTCTGACAGTGGTGTGACGTCACTCCCACACCCGCCGTGTCGCTACCGCTATCCCACACCGGGTCTGACAGTGGTGTGACGTCACTCCCACACCCGCCGTGTCGCTACCGCTATCCCACACCGGGTCTGACAGTGGTGTGACGTCACTCCCACACCCGCCGTGTCGCTATCGCTATCCCACACCGGGTCTGACAGTGGTGTGACGTCACTCCCACACCCGCCGTGTCGCTATCGCTATCCCACACCGGGTCTGACAGTGGTGTGACGTCACTCCCACACCCGCCGTGTCGCTACCGCTATCCCACACCGGGTCTGACAGTGGTGTGACGTCACTCCCACACCCGCCGTGTCGCTATCGCTATCCCACACCGGGTCTGACAGTGGTGTGACGTCACTCCCACACCCGCCGTGTCGCTACCGCTATCCCACACCGGGTCTGACAGTGGTGTGACGTCACTCCCACACCCGCCGTGTCGCTATCGCTATCCCACACCGGGTCTGACAGTGGTGTGACGTCACTCCCACACCCGCCGTGTCGCTATCGCTATCCCACACCGGGTCTGACAGTGGTGTGACGTCACTCCCACACCCGCCGTGTCGCTACCGCTATCCCACACCGGGTCTGACAGTGGTGTGACGTCACTCCCACACCCGCCGTGTCGCTACCGCTATCCCACACCGGGTCTGACAGTGGTGTGACGTCACTCCCACACCCGCCGTGTCGCTACCGCTATCCCCCACCGGGTCTGACAGTGGTGTGACGTCACTCCCCCACCCGCCGTGTCGCTACCGCTATCCCACACCGGGCCTGACAGTGTTGTGACGTCACTCCCACACCCGCCGTGTCGCTACCGCTA